TTTGTATTAAAGACTTAGGTGAAGCATTATGTGAGCAGTGAGTTAGGAAGCCATTTTTTTTTCAGACAAACATTGAGAATGGGTGAGTGCTTCCTTTTTACTGTCCACCCAACTAGTAGATTTGTTTGGAGAGATGCTGTGCAGATCCCCTCTGAAATTGGAACTCCTCTCCTCCCCTCTCTCATGCTTGAAAGACTTTTTGTTGCATTTCTTCTCTCACCTGTTCGATGGATTGTGAAGAACGCATCACAGAATTTGTTTCCATTTTTCTATAACTTGCGAACAACAGAACATTAAAGTTGACATATCCTTTGGCCAGAAAATGTTGGCTGGTAAGCAGTTTTGCAGAGTTCAAGAAGCAAAAGATACAGGTAGCTGTCCCGAAGGAGATTACAGTCTGAGAAAACATGAAGAAATGAGATAGAAAGGCAAAATTGAAAAGAGATGTATTATTTGCTCTCTCTCTCTCTCTCTCTCTCTCTCTCTCTTGTGTTCTCAGTTTCCATCAGCATGGGAGCTTGCAACGGTATGGATGCCCAAGGCTAATGGCTCTGTAGTAGAATTTTGAGTAAGAAGGAAGTTTTCAGACAATTATCTTGAAAAAGGGTACCTATCATAAGGTTTTCCTCTCCTTCCCCTGTCCTGACCACTTTCTACAGGGGGACGATCGAGAGCATCCTGTCATACAACATCACAGTCTGGTTTGGAAGCATCACTGCTTCAGACAGGAAGGTGGTGCAGAGAGTGTTGAGAATGGCCGAAAAGATCATTGGCAGTTCCCTTCCTCCCATCCAGGACATAGCACAGAAGCGTTGCTTGAGCAGGGTCCGTAAGATTGCCTGGGACACTACACATCCTCTTCACGACCTGTTTTCCTTGTTACCTTCAAGGAGGAGGCTTCGTGGTATCCATAGCAGAACATCTAGATTCAGCCATAGTTTCATTCCATACGGCATTAACCTTGTGAACTGTCAAGCTTCCTCCTTCCATTATATATTCAAGATAACAGTATTTAATATTTATTTGCTACATATATGTAGGGATGTGGGTCTATATATATGTTCATAGTATGTTTAGGTGTGCGTCGTGTACGTGTTTCACTTTGAGAGCGGGCAACTAAATTTCATTTTTGATGTGTGCCGTTGTGCCAACAGTAAAAAAATGACAATAAAGGTTATCTTATCTTATCTTATCATATCATATCTTATCATATCATATATCATATCTTATCATCTTATCTTATCATCTTATCTTATCTCATCTCTCAAAACATCATGCTGTTTTGTTTCTTTCTAAAAACTACATTGATTGGAGGATAATTGAATTTGAAAGAGAAAGAAATCCCCCCCCCCCAGTCCACAAGAGCTGCAGGAAGGAAACCAGTTCTTGCCTTAGTGTCATTAAATCAATTTATAACTTTTTTGAAATGAGTTTTTCTGGAATTTTTTTTGTTATTCCATCTCTCACTGTTAACATAAACCTACCATTAAAATTATAAACTGATCATTTCTTCGTCAGTGGGCAAACATACAAAATCAGCAGGGGATCAAATACTTTTTCCCCCTCACTGTATGTTTTTTAAAGTACTTTTGTTGATAGCTGGTTTGCTACTGTGCTCTTACGGCTTTTCATTGACCTCTTTCTACTGACGCAGATGAAAGTCCTCAATTATACTTCTGCTACTTGTAAATTGCACTTCAAGCAAAGAAAAGAATTGGACAAAGATGAACGTCTCTTAAGCAGTAGAAATAATAGAAGCACAAGTTGTTTGAGTAGTTTAGAACTGATTTCAGCCTCTACAGATTGCAGCATGAGCTCTGCAGGATATTTTTCCTGGATTTTGTGTGATTTTTTTTCAGGTTCATATTGCTCATGACGTATTTGCCTTCTATTACTAACTCTTGCCAAGCTCCCTTGTTTAATGCACACTTTAATTTTGCACCATGCTGCTTTTGTTATGCTTGGGTTGGGAGTGGGTGGAAGTCAACAGCACCTAGAGGATAGAGGGGTCCCCCCTTTTTTTCTTTGAGTCACACATTTAAAGGGTACTTGAGCATTTACACAACAGCCAAGAAGGGAGAATAAAATAGCTCTATAGTGCAGTTCTACATATTTATATTAAGATGTAAATCATACGGAATCCAGCTTAGGTGTCTACTGCTGCTGTTACTTATTGAATAAATTGGGTATCTAGCTCCTGTTATAGAAGCAGGGACAAAGTATTTTTCTAATGGAATGCATCTATTTTATTAATTTGCTTGACTTATACCCTACCTTTCCTAATGGAGCTCAGCTTACATGAAAATCTCTTCTCATTTTATCGCCGTATTAACCCTGTGTGTGAGAGAGCAATTGGCCCAAAATCACCCAGTAAGCTCCAGTGCTTGAGAGTGGACTTGAACCCAAGTCTTCCTTGAGTCCATCTTCCAGTTTAGTACTTTGACTACTATGCCTTACTTACGCTTGTGTTTCAGTAGACTGTTTTTGTCAATCCTGCTCATCAGGAGCTCTATCATATGGACTTGGTTTTGTCCCTCTTTTCCAAAGATATTCAGAGGGGAAAAAAAGTGGCAAGATTATGATTGCAAGGTATTATGTTGAATAGAGATTATGTTGAGTAATAATGGTGGATGGGAGATCAGAACATTTGATAAGGCAGAGCTGGGTTACATAATGACTCCTTTTGGATTCCTCTAGTTCTGGCTGCAGGAACGCTTTGTTGTAACATAATTTGTTCTCTGTTAAAATAAGAATGTCCTTAGATTCATTTGGATTAGCATCACACGTCCTGTAATTAATACATTAGGAAACTCAAACATTTCTGCCAAATATATACAGTGTGATTGCACATGCATTTTGAAATAGCTTGTATGCAACCATCGTTGAAGCAGTGTTCCAAGCTGTGAGTCTCCTCCAGTGTCTATCAGACACCCAGGGTTAGCCTCGTGGCTGAAGTATTGTCAGTCCTTCTAGGTCAGTGTTTCTCAACCTTGACCATTTTAAGGCATGTGGACTTCAACTCCCAGAATTCCACAGCCAGCAATGCTGGCTGTGGAATTCTGGGAGTTGAAGTCCACATGCCTTAAAATGGTCAAGGTTGAGAAACACTGTTCTAGGTAAACCAGATGGGAAACACAACTAGGTGAGCTGAATCTACGTTATTGCAAGGCTACACATTAACAGAATCTTGCAAATCTGAAGGCACAAACTTCTTGCTGCCACTTTTAGCTGTCTGATCAATTAAGGCGATCCTTCCAAAGTTTCTTCTTCTGACCGTTAAGCGACTGCCTGCAAGGTCTTCCCTCTCTTGTCTGATTGTTTCCAAGGCAGCATCTCTTTCATTCATTCCTTCATTCCCCCACGGTCATCTACACATTCCATTACAGATATTTCCACCTAGGTTTGTAATGTAATCTTTTCTTTTAGTAAGAGACGATATAGGACTGAGACTTAAGGCCTGCATGCGTGGCCTTCTGATACATCCCCTGCTGCTTTGCGACCTCTGTGACCCTCAGTAGAGAGGTTTACCTGTGTCTAAACTTGTCTATCCACTGCTTCTCCTGAGAAACATATTGTCACCGGCATTATAAACTAGTAGCATTTTTGCAAATTGCCTTGGACAACAGATGGTTGAGAATCTCTGAGCATCTGATAGTACTGGGCAAAGGATATATTGTCAGCAGGCAAAGTGAGCTGCATAATCACTATAACCTGGAGCTGGTCCAGTTGGCATGAAGCACTGGTTGGGCTTCTGCTTTGTTCAATATGGATGAAAAACATACTTTAAGGAGGACTCCCTTAGTGGTCTGGTAAAAGTTACATTATGTCATTGAAGCGAGGGATAGGGTTATTAAAATAAAAATGAACATCTGCGGGTCTTACCAAGTTCTTGCTGATTCTTACAGGAGAAGCTGGTTCTACATTGCTTGAGTGCCTGATGAGATCACTTTCTTACTTTGAAGACACAAATTGTACTTCTTCCTTTCTTCTGCAGAAGGATTAGAAGAAGCTGTAAGCATGGGTGACTATTGACAAAAATGGTTATCGCAGATTTGGGCAATACAGACATTCCGGAACTGGACAGACTTGAACACTGGGCACTAACTAACAAAATGAAATTCAATGGTGAAAAAAGCAAGGTTCTACATTTAGGCAAGAAAAACCAAATGCACAAGTACAGCATAGGTGGCACCATGCTCAATAGTAGTAACTGTGAGAGGGACCTCGGAGTCCTAGGAGACAATCACTTAAATATGAGCCAGCAGTGTGCTGCAGCTGCCAAAAAGGCCAACACAGTGCTAGGCTGCATTAACAGAGGGATAGAATCAAGATCACGTGAAGTATTAATACCACTCTTCAATGCCTTGGTAAGGCCACACTTGGAATACTGCATCCAGTTTTGGTCACCACGATGTAAAAAAGATGTTGAGACTCTAGAAAGAGTACAGAGAAGAGCAACAAAGATGATTAGGGGACTGGAGGCTAAAACATATAAGGAACGGTTGCTAGAATTGGGTATGTCTAGTTTAACGAAGAGAAGGACAAGGGGGGACATGATAGCAGTATTCCAATATCTCAGGGGCTGCCATAAAGAAGAGGGAATTAAGCTATTTTCCAAAGCACCTGAAGGCAGGACAAGAAGCAACGGGTGGAAACTAATCAAGGAGAGAAGCAACCTAGAACTAAGGAGAAACTTCCTGACAGTGAGAACAATTAATCAGCTTGCCTCCAGAAGCAGTAAATGCAGTAAAATGGGAATACAGTTCTGCGTCTTCTTGTGTTATTGCTCTTGAAGAAAAATCAGTAATTTAGGTACCAATACTTAGCACCAATCCGATGTAACTAACTGCAAGCCTCTGAACTAATTTGACAGATTTACAGCAGTCTTCCTAACCTCCTCCTTTCCAGCAGAAGCAGTGGTTGAGAACAATGGGAACCAAAGTGAGGGAACTTCTTTAGAGCATTGTAGAGATTGATTGCATTTTTACTCTCTCTTTCAGCGGACCCCTTTGAAACGATGTTAAAGTCCTTGTTGCAGTATCAGTCTGGCCTGGGTGGAGACATGGCTGAGAGCTGCTTGAGGAAAAAACTGTATGAAAATGGTGTCACCAAGCTGCTGCCGAGCAATTTTCCTGTCATCCAGAAGGTGAATAGCTTCCTCTGAGGGCAGAATTTTGCTCAGGAGTATGGGAGGGTCTTCTTTCTAGGAAGATAAATGATTCAGAATAATCTCTTTAAAAGGCTGCAATGCATGGAGAAGAATCAGATGTTTTAAAGTTTTTGAAAGTTGCTTCTCTTGTGTAAGCAGTCAACTTTCTCAGAAGTGACTCTCCAGTATTAAAAAAATCTTGTCTGGTGCATTTCCATTTTATATTTTTCCTGTGTATTCAAGACAAGTTAAATTAAAACTTGAATGAATAGGCCTGCTACTGTTTTACCCCCCCCCCACTCCCACTCTGACACATAGTGGATTTTAGCAGAGCTTATATTTTCCAAACTAAAAACAATTGGCTTTTTATCTTTATTTTTTTATGTCATATTGATTATGCAGTAATTTCTTTGTTGTCAGTAATCCAGAGATGCTGAGAGTCAGTCGGCATATATATTTAGTATTATGATCAAACAGACAAATCAAGCAGATGTTTAGATTGGATTTAGCATTTTTATTCACTTATCAAATCCTTCCCAAGGACCTGGGAAAGGCAGATGTTTGATGGCATTAAAGATATTACTAGGATGTAAACTGTTCCAAATAAAGGTGCCTTTTGCAGATGTGGTAATATTCTCAATGCCAATGGTATTCAAGTGATGCTTGAGATGTTTTGGGATTGCACCCAAGGCACTATTCCTATTAATATTAAACATGTTTTAAACATGATCAGGATTGCACAGGCAAAAAGAGAGTGCTGTTGAAAAATTGGATTTGCCTCATTTTCCCTGCATAAACTGATAGTGAGAAGTTGTGCTGAACACTTTGAAAACCTTCACAGTCTGTCACTTAAAATTTAATTCTTGAAAATAATAGTATATCTGGACCTGTTCCAGTTGGGCTTCATATTGGAGCATAGTACAGAGCAATACAAGTTATTCTTGTCATGACCTTGGCAGAGCAGAAATGGAGATGTATATTGATTGCTTAGTGGCTTCTGATACTATTGACGGCAGTATCTTTCTGGACTGGCTATGGCTGATGTAGTTGTGTGGCCCCTGATTTGAATTGTTTCTGTTTGATTGTTTTAATCCAGTTTGCCTGCAGGGTTGTATGTTTTTACCTGCTTTTATTGTTTTGTATTGTATTTGTAAACCATCAAGAGTCTATGGGAATGGGTGGTAATAATATATTTAAATAAATAAATAACAATAACAATCTATTACTTGCCCAGCCCTAGTCCCAATCAAGTCAGTTTTATTCATGACATGTGGGTCACCAAGTTCATTTTTTATAAGTTGTGGTATCACAGAGATTCAGAAGCTCTGCAACTGGCATTTCCACTTATTTTTCTTGGAGGAAGCATCCCCATGCCCCTCATTTTTTTGATCATACAGATCAAATGTCTATTTATGTCCAGTAAAATTACTAGAGGTCTGTAATTGCACAGGTGCTCTCAGCATGCCTTAAGAATCATTGCACCTTTCCCAAAGCACCACTAGATGGGAGACATTATAACAGTAGCTCAATGCTAATCGGGCATTATGAGTTATGATGGATTTCATCAGAATGGTTTAAAAGACCTGCTTTTCTATTCAACAGGCCATGTAACAATATTTAATTTTTGCTTTTCAGTTTCATGGGAATATGTAGGGATAAAAAGATTAACACATATATTTCTTTTGTTTAAGCTGTCAGAAGAATTGCTAACAAAATGGCTAACCTTCCCTGAGTCTCAGCATGTGCCCCTCAGTCAACATATGTTAGGTTTTGCAATGAAGGCTGTTGCACAGACTGCTATGGGCAGCAGGTTTGAAGATGATCAGGAAGTCATCCGATTTCGTAGGAACCATGATGTGGTAAGTCTCCAGAAAGAAGAGACGGTAATATTCTCTTCAGTTCCATTTTCTACCACAGGGAGACAAATCACATAACTATATGTAGAAAGGCATTGGCTCAAAGACATAGCTTTGCTAATTTCTTTCAGTTATTGAATAAGTAGGTAACACTGCTTGGCTGGCTTTCGCTGTTCTTGAAAAATCTAAGCTAAATTGGACCTTGGATGGAAACCACAAGGAAATTCCAAGGCTGCAGACCAGGCTGAGAAATTTTAAAAAATGAAAACTCACTTCTATCTTGTTGCCAAGAAAGCGACATGGAATGTACTTGTGATCACCAGATGCTAAGGGTAATTTAGATTTCAATTTCTTAAAATAGGCTTAGATAGCCTGACCTGTGGGCCATTGCATGCCTTGCTTGAAGTGGAATATCTGCATTAACAACTTTTAAATAAAGATCCTTACTCCATTGAGCCGAGAGATATTTTCTTAAAATCTGATTGCGTAGAGCAAACCAAGTGCAGTTTTAAATGCAAGTAAAAACAAAAATGCCTTCATCAAAAACTAAAATGGCAGACAATGTGCAATTTCACTGTTTTCTTTCTGAATCAGCCTGCTCTACACCAATATTATTTTCAGTTTCATCTCAGACTTTGTGAAATATCTACAATAGTTATAATTAATATATTTAATTGTCCTATAGTATTTATCCATATACTTTCTATAAATTGGAATAAGTACTATACTACTTCATGTGTGAGGAAGTCCCTCTGTTTTTGTAATTAACAGAATAGACAGCTTATGAACCCATCCTAATACAGATAGTCCTTGACTTATAATCACAATTGAGCCCAAGATTTCTTTTTTTTTTTTATGAAGAAATTTTATTGTTTTTTTTCATTTTTACATAAAAGTGCTTAAGAAACAACATGGTGATTGGGCTATCAATTATCCAAGAACAAAATCAAAAATATATCACACAGATTAATTCCTTAAAAGTTTCCTCTCTATTTCCCACATATTATTTTACCAATTAAAATTATTACATTTATAAAAAAAAGCTCAATCAATCCAATCGGTCATTTCAATTATAAGAATCCAAGTCCTGTTTTTAAGCTTTACTATTTTAGAAATTACCATATTCCAGTTAAGCTTAGATAGACATATTAACACTTCAGGCATCATTTCTCTTTTCCCTATCATGATGGTTCTATCTAAAATAAATATATTATCCCAAAAAGCAACATCCTTACATTTTTTTAAATATAGCCTATTGCTTAAACTAATACATCATTTATTAATACTATTATTTCTCTTATCACAAATACCTCCTCTTCTCCCTCTATTACAAAATAGTTATCTTGGTTAAAATAAAGATATCAGTCCAAAGAACTACATTTCTGTCTATTTTAAATATATATTCTATCAATCAATTAAGTAAAATTTATCCCTCCAAATACTTATCATCTCTAATACCAAGTATTGTTACAAAAATATCCTTTTACAGAATCACCTATTTCATTTGTTATTAAAACAATCCAAGTGTCAACAACCTTTTTAACCCATTCAGTGGAATTTTAAACCACATTTTTAAACCTAACTCTAGCTTTCTTTCTATGCCAAACCGGTTTCCAAGATAAAGCCTCAGCATCATCAAACCTCAACATATGAGTAAAGCTATTTCTCAATACATCAAAATAATCAAAGTTCTTTTCTCTTTCTTTCAATATCGTTTGAACAGTATAGCCAATTTTATTCCTTATTAAAGTTGCTAGTTGATTGTCCACATTGTCCCAATTTTCAATAATTTGTACCTAAATGTCAATCTCTGTTATTTTTGGGAGATCAAATAGTTCAGTTAATGGTATTCTTTGATCATCAATGTTCTCCATAGGTCGTAAGTAGAATTGTATAGGATTAATTTGCTCAGTAGTTTCTACTGTAAGTTCATAATTGAATTGTAAGTGCAGTTCTTCTGTCTCGTTCAGTTGTATATCTTGCTGAGTGGGAACCTCTCTAGGGTTGCTCTGTTCTTCCTCCGTTATTCTTTGGTCTGTAATTTGAACCGATGGTTGAAAGTCAATTTTGGTTCTCTAGTATCATCTTTGATTTTTCTCCAAGATTTGATATAAGCTTTCATATAGTTTGTAGTTTCCAAAAGCTTTTCCAATATAAGTTCATAGTTGAGCTGTGGATAAGCTTCTTCCATTTCAATGGCGAAATAGACTTTGATCAAGAATAGTCTTTAATCTTTTAGTGGAGGCTATATTTCAAAAAGGTCAACAAATATCCACCTCCAAAGGTCAAATTCATCTTCAAATAGCAAAAAAATACAGTTGTAATGGCACTTTTCGCCAGAAGATGTCCTCAGTGGACTGTAAACTCTTTCTTCCAAATAGATAAAAAATTATCTCTTTCAGGAAACATAAAAAGCAAAAGCAGGTATCTCCAGTATAATAGATAAAGTAAAAAAATATAGTGTTTCTTTTTTTTTTTTTTCAGGGCCCCTAGGTATCCAAAAAAGAAAAAAAATCAAGTAGTCAATAAAACTTTAACTATTTTAATTCTTTTAAAACTTTCTTTCCCAAGTAGACAGAAGCTGCTCTCTTAAGACAGGGAAGTGATCAAAAACTTTTTACAGGCAAATAGTCAGGACAGAGAGAGGGAGGAAAGGTCTCACCCGGATTCACCATGGTGGTTCTTTATGCTTAGATGATTTTCTGACTTCGACTTCGGCAGCAAAGTGATCGGCCATTTTACTGGTTGATCTTCTCCGTCGGCCCTACGGAGTTGGCTCGGACTGCAGGGGGAGCCGCCACTCCACTGCAGCCAAGCAAAAGCCTCCTCAATGGCAGTTGCCCCTCCAGGGCGATTTAAGACCCGCATATGGGTCTACCGGCGGAGGGAAAACAGCCGACAAAGAGAGAGATCTTTTTCTACAGCTGAATGTGCCGCGATCCGGAAGCGAAAGTCTCAAGCCCAACATTTCTGTTGTTAAACGAGACAATTATTATTCACTTCCCTTTTAGCACCAGCCTTACCTTAGTACAGAAACCATGTTTAATATTCGGATAAGACTGAAATAAATACTTATAATAAATTAAAAAAAGATGATTATTATTTATTTCTATTTCAGATCTGGGCAGAAATTGGAAAGGGTTTCTTAGATGGTTCACTTGATAAAAGCATGACCAGAAAAAAGCAGTATGAAGATGGTGAGTTCTGTTTTCTATCTATTTGACACATATACCCGGCAAGGTGATCTAATTGAACATTTCTGCATAGCATTGTTTTACTGAATGTTTCAGAAATGCTACTGTTTTATTTAGCATGCATGCTAGATATCTATTTTTCCAAATGCAGGCTAGAGTAATAAATCAATCTCATCTGCCCCCTTTCAGCACTCTACAGTACCTGTTTGCTTGCCATTTAGAGATTGTATATGTTTTCTGTAATTGCTGTAGGCTGACAGATGAAATTTGGTTTCTCCATTCATACTTGCACATACAGACACATATATGTGAAACTAATGGATAGGACTATAATGAAAATAAATGTATTTCACATCATTGCATTTCATCCATCACAAGGGAAACAGCCTTCAGAAGCCAAAGATCAGCTGCCTGTCATGATATGATATGTTTCTAAGACCCCCACTGTGCTAGCTAGGAAATGACCTCATTATTGTTTGTGCTTAAAGCCCTGATGAAAATGGAGCTCGTCTTGAAGAAAGTTATAAAAGAACGACAAGGAAAGAGCTTCAGCCGACACATCTTCATAGATTCTTTACTACAGGGGAATCTGAGTGACAAGCAGGTATCAGCATCTTTGGTGTAATTAACTATTAATGGAGTTCCCTCTAGATTAGCTGCTAATTATGTCCTGATAGTGTTTGATTAATATAATAGCTTCTATTGCATCTCATTTGAGTAGTTTTTTTTTCCTTGCTAGAATGTAATGTATGTGGCTATTTTGGACCTTTAGGCTTGAAGCCATTTTTTTCTTTAAAATGCAGTAATATGTTATGGTATACATTTAACTGCTAAGGTGATGTGGATAAGGTTATTGTTAAAATGGGAGATGCTGTTCCTAATGTATTATTTTAGCTAATTCCTAAATGGCAGGAAATTCTTTGTACCAGATCTAGGATTAGAGTGAATTTTTATTTTTGAAAGGCTGTGAAACATATATACATATACATATACACACACGAACACACACACACACACACACACACACATTTATACACACACACATACATACATTCCGTGAGAAAATCTTCATTGGCAGAATAGTTGGATAGGCGATATGATATCTGCCATATCTGAAATGTTCATCTGGCAGATACACCATGGCAATCGCATGAATGGTTTACCAGATAGCATACCAGATACCTGTTGCTTTTACAGAGACTGCATTGCCTTGGTGAAATCTATAGAGATCCACATCACTATGGTGGTGAAGAGTGAAGCTACTGCCATTCACACATTCTCTGATCTTTGGTATCTAAGGCAATAGCCTTTCAAATAATGCCCCATTAAATATGGTGGTATTTATCTCTGAGAAATGCAATTACAAAATTGTATATGGAGGTGGAGCATTAGGTGTGAGCCGATAGAAGGAAATGATAGAGATCTCAAATCTTCTCTCTGGGAAGTCCTGAATGGATCTGCCCTCCTGCTTTGGTATGGCTGCTACTACTTGTTTTCCAGGGAGGTGCCTTTACTCGGCGTCCCTCCTCAACCTCAGTGTATCAGGCAGATGGGGATCCCATAATTTGTGTGTTTTATTGTCTGGTAGAAGAAGTTGTGAATCTTATTTTATTTTTATAGCTATTTTCTAGCTCTGTGCTATGGAGGCATGTGACTAAAGGAATCAGGACCCCTCCTCTGGGAGATCATGTGCATGGTATAACAGAATTAAGTTTATTTAAAAAAAAACAAGAGAAAGAAGGCTAAAATATCATTTTAAGTGGTCACATGCAATACAGCAAAGAAAAGTGTAAAAACAGAGAGCTAGGAAAGCCACTCATAACTTCTCAAGCAAATCTCTGAACTCAAAACTACACAGAAAAAGTGAAATTGGTCTATTAATTGGGAAATATAATCACTGAACATTTGAAAAAGGAAAATATAAATCAGAAAGAGTATATGATCAGGCACCATAAAGCTCCATGCATTCCAAAATAAAAATAATCCTATGCAACATTTCCAGTTACCTAAGTTGCTATTATTTCACAGGGGCAAACCAATGACTACAACAAAGTTTCCTATTTCTCCCTTAGTTCTTCCAAATTCTATTAGATTCTCCGCTTTAATCAGAAGCTCATGTGCTTTAGCTCCTTTTGTAGCCCTGGTAGCTTGCTTCTCTCCAGGAATTTTTAAAAGATCAGATATTTTTTTCTGCAGAAAGTGTGGGAGGGGGGACCAGGAAAGCTCCTTTTGCTAAGCATACTTATGCTGGTCTATAGCCATAATAAAGATTTGATTGATTGGTCTTTTTGCTATGTGTGGCCTTTCTAAGGGGGATTTTGCTTGACACAGAGAATATGTTTTGATTTGAACAATCTTCATGACATGCAACTGACAATCTGGAGTTCTCTGAAGGCCAGTGGACTTCATAAAAGCAGGCTTCTAAATATGCATGGAACTGACAGCCTTTCCCATGCATTTTTTTTCTTTCTTTTTGGAGCTATTCCTTTGGTAGCTACAATTAATTTGGAATGCATTTCACATATATCTGCTTTGACATATGTGAAATGTTTGATTAAATTTTCAATATTAGGTTTAGCAGTAACTCTCACTGTCTTTTTTTCCTCCATGAAACTCTTTTCATTTTCTAGATTTTGGAGGACACCATGATCTTCTCTCTGGCAGGATCCATAATCACTGCAAAATGTAAGTATATAAAACAGCATTTAAGACATAGTGCAAATCATCGGTGGAGGGAGGAGACCTATGAAAATGTTGTCACAGTGCTTATTGTTCCATAATACTTTAGATAATTTGATTTAGTTTGTGTGCTGCTTTTGAGAGGCTCCAAGCCTTTATAATATTCAGAGTTTTTCTTTCTTGGACAGGAAAAGTTAAAATAGGGCAGATGGAGGGAACTAGGGCTTATGCCTGAAGTAGCAAAATAAATGATAAATAACTTGACAATTTTTAATTCCAACTTCTCATCATGTAGAGTAAAGAAAATGGTAACAAAAGCCTTGGCAAATTGGGATTGAGAGAAGCAAAATCCTAATATCCCAGGATTAACCAAAAATTTCAGGATATAGGAAGAAAAGGTCTCTATTTCCTTTTGCTTGGCCATGAGATGTGCTTGTCAGAGGCAGATCTGAAAATAGTATTACATGGTTTCCCTCAAACTTTAAGGCAATTGCCTTCCTGGCTGATTGTGATAAACTTTGAAATAACTCTACAACCTTTTTTTTAAAGAGATTGATACTTGAGAATAAAATGAAAAGAATATACAGAAATTCCATATAGTAGAAATGTCAGCATCCAAGATACCCTGGCAGATGCTCCGTAGTACCAGACAATGTAGTTAGATCAAAATTCCAGTCATTAATAAAAAGAGAATATTTGTAGCTCAGGGTTGAAATGAGGGGTCCTTGGTGCTCTCTGAGCTTGGTTGCTTTTTTGCAGATGATTCATTACCCAGACTAGGTAACATCAGTGCTAGTAGGACTATTTCAGAGCGCAGGTGCCATTGCCGAAAAGGATCTGTTCCTGGGTCCTGCCAGGTGGAACTCTCTAGTGGACAAGACCTAGTGCATGTCTCTCCTGCTGGATCTAACAGAATGGGTAGAGAATATACAGTGGGGGAAGCTGGACGGAAAATAGAAAACATGGCTTTAAAATTGAAAAAAGGAAATTGAGATTAAATGTAATTTTATGATTACCGTAAATGCCGGCGTATAAGGCGACTTCCGCGAGCGCTGAAATCGGCGCCAAAGACGGGGGTCGTCTTATACGCCGAGTCGTCTTATACGCCGGAAATACTGGTAGTTTCCGGCGTATAAGACGACGTTCTAGGAATGCGGCCCGGCTATAAAGACGGGGGTCGTCTTATACGCCGGGTCGCCTTGTACTCCGGCATTTACGGTAAGATGATATGATTAAGTATCTCATCAGCTAATGACAACAGGAACAAAAGCAAAAATTGAACTTTGAAAAGTGAGATAGAAAGAGCAGTGATGCTTTTAAACTTCTGGGTTTCAAAAAGACTCCTGAAAATGCCATGGATACCAAGAAAGCAAACAAATAGATTACAGGACAAATCTGGAGTTCTTACTTCAGGCACAAATGACAAGGCTCAAAGGATATTTTGGACACAAAATATGAAGACGTAGCACTCTGAAGAAATTTCTAATGCTGGGAAAGTTGAAGGATAGAGAAAAAGACAATGACTGATGATGGATGGATTTGATAAGATTGGCAAGTTGGAGTTGAGGGCAAGTCATCTGGAAAGGGTTATCTACACAGTTGCTGAAAATTGACAGTAGTTTGATGGCTAATAATAATAATTGTTGAAGGCAAGAAAAAGTGCTATTCTCTCAGTGAATCAGCTCTTCTAAATGTATCTGCAGTCTATATTTGAGCATTTTCCAATAAAGATAAGTTCTGAATACAGATTTTCCTTGTGAACATTTAAATCTGGTTCCCTTCATCTTAATTAATGTACAACAGAGGATCAGGGTAAGAAAACCAACTAGAGCAAGGCAAGAAAAAGTCTATTCCATGATATTATTTTTGATCTGGTATGCAGTCTGAAACCTCCAGACAGCCATTTAGACTTCAACCAAAAGGGCCTAATTCATTCATATCAGAGATTCAGAGCTGAAAGATGCCATTTAGGCAATTGACCCCAACCCTTGCTTATTTCAAGAATCTAAATGAATGTGTCCCTTTCCAGCTATTCCTGTATGGAGATAAGAAAGGAAATTGGAGAAAAAAAGAGAGGAAAAGAAAGATAGGGAGGAGAGTATATGTTTAAGGGTGATCAACTTATGGGGGACTAGTGACCAATTCTGAAATTTTTGGGTTGCTCATAAAGTGGTTGTCATGATGGGGCACAAGTTGAACGTTAAGGTGGGTGTGGCCAGGGTGGATAATAATCGATGATTTAAAAAATAAAAATAAAAAATGATTTTTTTATTTAAATTGGATTTTTTTGATATAATAATAGTAATAATAGTAATAATAATAATAATAATCCATCCTGAACGATATCTGTAATACCATCAAACATCCACATCTGCCTATCCCAAGTCCCTGGTAAGGGCTCGATAAGTGGACGAAAATGCCAAATCCAGTCTAAACATCTGGCTGACTGTGCGATGATTAATAATAATAGTAATAATAATAATAATATAAAGTTGGAAGGTACTTGGAGGTCATCTAGTCCAAACCCCTGCTCAGACAGGAAATTGGATTTTTTTTATTTTTATCAAATTTATTTAATGAAATGCTTTTGGAGTAAAAATCTATCTAAATATAGTTTGCTATTTAAGATACATTAATAATTTAGTTTATTCAGTATGAAATGGAGCTTAGTTATGTAGCACGAGGCTGTATATTCTGTAATATTTACGTTTTTGGTAAACTCATTCAATGAATCGAAGCTTTGCAAGCTGAGATAACATGCACTGCATTGATGCATTCACACAATTTCACAGTAACCATGAGGTAAATCATAAAACAAAGTTCAGGAATATTCCTTTATCCCATTATTTTGCAAATCTATGTACACTACAAACTGTATGAAGAAAAATGCATCTGTACCAGGCTCTAACGGTTTTAATGAAATAAAAGAATTTGAGTAGTTCTCCAATTATTATGTTTCCCCAAGAATAAAATCCAGTATTATATTATTTTTGCCTTCAGAAGAAGTATTAGGTCTTTTTGGGGGGGGGGGGGGATGCCTTATATTTTTTGTGACATCTGCCTTGCCTCGTGGTGGCACCAACAGCCCCATCCAGCAGGCACCCACTTGGATGCCAGCCCACTTCTGCTGCGGCCACTCACAGCAGGAGACCGCGCAGCACATCATGCTGCTACCACCACAATGAGGCGAGGCAGGTGGGGAGGGGGTGGAGCTGCCCCCGCATCTCTCACCCACTTACTTCAGGGCCCTACCAACCACGCCATTCCTTGCTCGGTGACCATCCCTTTCACTCCCCTCCCAAGCTGGACTGCCATGCTATGGAGGATGGGCAGAGTAGGCCATCCCATTAAAGTGAATGGGACTGTCAGTGAGTCAACAGCAGGTCAGAGGAGGAGTTGCTATGGGACAGAGATGACAGTTGCTCTTTAAAAATTATGATTTAAATCTAGTTGATTTAAATCAAGCCTTTTTACTACTGATTTAAATCAAATCCGGGGTAAAGTAATAGTAGCAGAGGCAAATAGTTGAGATTTTTTCCTGATACCTGCTTTAGTTCTCCAGGATCCTTTTCTTCATTCCAGCTTCTCTTTATCTTTTGTCTGGGCAGATAGCCATGATTTCCAGAGCAAGCACTGGACTATAGCCTCCCATTATGCTTACTTTCTAAGAAAGCTTATCAAGGTCTGATAAACAAAGCTTATGCCAAAGGCTGACACTTTGCTTTGCAGCATGCAAGCTTCCAATAGACTTTTGCTTTTAATTAGGAAATATTAAATGAAGCAGAGAACCTATTAAGTGGTGCCAAAGGAGGTGCTGCCAGCGTGTGGAACATTTGGATGGGGGTGAGGGCTTTGTGTAGATATAGAAGAGTTTGGGATGAATGAATGATGTGGGAGATAAAAGGATGAAGGATGGATGAATAGATGTTTGCATGCTTGGGTATATATGAAATTATAAATTGGAGGTCTTCGCTCTAAAGTCACTGGCTAGCTTTAGTCAAGCCATTGTCTTTCAAGTCTCATTATGTGGGGATAATTAAAAACCATATTTTAGAGAGCAAAGATAATGATGACTAAAATAATAACTATGATACAAATTGTGCACTTCACAAAAGGTTCTCTGATTGTTAAACTGTAGATTGCGTCAAAAGTCTACTCAGCCTTTAAATGGTTTAATCACCCAGGCTTGTTCATTTTCTCACAGGCCACCCAATACTTACTTCTTCCTATGGACTGCTTCATCTGGCGTGGGTTTTCTATTGAGTTACTCAGTGGGGTTTGCTTTTTCCTAATTTCAGAACATGAACTGTGAATTGTATGCATGTGTTGACCAACTACAGACTTTTATCTTCTGATGCTTCTTTTCTTTTTCTTCCTTTAGTGTGTACCTGGGCAGTCTATTTGTTAACTACCTCAAAAGAAGTCCAGCAAAAGCTTTACAAGGAGTTGGATCAGGTTCTTGGGAAGAGCCCTGTTACACATGTGAAAATTGAACAACTTAGGTAGGGGCCTATTTTTATACTCATTTTTTTTATTGTCTGCAAATGTCATACTTTTGATCTCTTAACAAAGTGTGAGAAGAGGACTCTTGTTTTCCTTCTTCTTGCCCTATCCATTTCTCACCACTTTTCAAAATCAATTTGAATCCTAGTATAGTACTATATTGCTAATATGCTTAACTTAAGACACAGTTTGCCCTGTGAGTTAGCCAACCCATTCCATTCCAGTACCGGTAGTCCTCAATGTACGACCACAATTGAGCCCCAAATTTCTGTTAAGTGAGTTTTGCCCCATTTTATGGCTTTTCTTGCCACAGTTGTTAAGTGAATCACTGCAGTTGATAAGTTAGTAAGCTGGTTGTTAAGTGAATCTGGCTTCCCCGCTGACTTTGCTTGTCAGAAGGTTGAAAAGGGGGATCACATGACCTTGGGACACTTCAACAGTCATAAGTATGAATCAGTTGCCGAGCATCTGAATTTTGATCATATGATCATGGGGATGCTGCAAAAGTTGTAATTGTGAAAAACAGTCACAAGTCACTTTTTTCAGTGCCATTGTAACTTTGAATGGTCACTAAATAAACTATTGTAAGTCAAGGACTGCCGGTATTTTATATCCTGTACACAGCAGATGGGGCAATACATGGATTTTTGAGGGCAACAATAGGCAGAACAATGATGCAAAATGGACGAGGCCAAGGCACGTACATGAAAGAGTGGAATTTTCTGGGATATTCCCCTCCCCCACCCCATTGTAGGTTTCCTTTATTTGTAAAACTATGCTAAGCATTTTAAAACAGAAGAAAATTCTAGTAGTTAAAAGGGGTACTGAGATCTAAGTGATCTATGAATGGCACTGCACTTTGATTTGGAACAGAGATGGAAGAGAAGTGTAATTTGCCCGGGGTGGAGAAGAAGTGTCTCAGCCAACAAGCAGCCATTTGAGCTTCAAGAAACAGAATAAAATTGGGAATATTAAAGTGGAGAGCTGTAGCCAAGTGGCATGTAATTCATCCAAGAACTCATTACTGTATTGTAACACACGTTATGCCATGACGGGATTAAATGTTCATTAATCTGACTCTTGTTTGAAATACTGTCTCTGGAGGTTGTAGGAATGTGTGTGTTTTAGGAATCTTTTTTAATCAAATGAAAACCTTGGAAATGTTGTGCTTGCAGGTATTGCCGGCAGGTTTTGAATGAGACAGTGAGGACAGCAAAACTAACACCAATTGCTGCCCGGCTTCAGGAGCTGGAAGGCAGAGTTGATCAGCATCTGATTCCCAAGGAGGTAGGATTGGAAGCTGGTGCTCTGATCTTCAATTTTGGTTAAACTTCCTAGAAAGAGATGTTACTTTGTTTTTTTAAGAGAGGCACATTAGTGGACAGGTAAACCAAAACACTGAATTCTTTTTTTCAATGAGCTGATTCAAAGAACATTGATTGACGGATTGGATTGGTAAGGCAATGTGACTCCAAATGATGTACAGCAAAAAAACAACAACAACGAAGAATAAATCCTCCAAATAACCACATATTTTTTTAAAACTCTACCCAATATATAAAATGGCAACCAAACACAATAGTTAAACAACCAAAATGCATTCAAATGCATTTTTTGTTTAATAAACCATTATATGACTGAGAATTTTGTTCATTCATTCAGATGCTTTTTGTGTCTGTGTGTTTGTGAACCTAATTAAGCCAGGAAAGGGCCAATTAAGCAAAGTTTTCCTTTTCCTCTAAGTAGAATAGCAATAATGTTCTTAATTGAGAACAACCGGATCATGATCATGAGAGCCAGCTCGGTGTAGTGGTTAAGGCATCGGCTTGAAAGCCAGACACAGTGAGTTTTAGTCCTGTCTTAGCTATGAAAGCCACCTGGGTGGCCTTGGGCCAGTTACTCTCTCTCAGCCCAACCCACCTCACAGGGTCATTGTTACGGGCAAACAGGAAGAGGAAGGTGTGCTGGATATGTTCACTGCCTTGAATTATTTGCAAACGTAACAAAGACAGAATGCAAATAGATTTGGGTATATATGAAGATGAAGGATTCATTCATAGCTGTTTGTTAAACTGAATAACTTAGTAGGAATGCTATTAATAGTTAGTAAAATTTATGATGCTCTGTGCTGAGTTATAGCACAAGGCCACAAGGTAACACATTTGTTTCATTAGAATGAGGAGAGATGGCTCTTTTAGTTGTTCATAAAGTACTTGGGGAAGATGCTTAGAGAATAGAATAAATGTATGAAATCTTATTGAGGCTTGCTATAATCACTTTATTCATTTAAGTAAAGGAAAAGGTAGTTCTTGGGGTAACCTTTTGCTCCAAATTAGTAAGGAGTTTTGATTAATAAAATATAAATAGTCTATTCTTGCTTGTGCCATTTCCAACAAAAATATCACCATTGTGATATTTTTGCCATATTTACTTGGACATCAGTTCTAGCATATCTTCATCATCCTAATAAACACAATTGTGACTTTATCCTTAAGTTCTTCAAGGTGAGATTATCAGACATCAGGCTTCTGTGAAAGTAGTGAAAGGAGCTGATTTCAAGCACAAAGCTAGAAAAAACTTTTGGTTTCTATCGCTTCTGTCACTTTCTTTTTCCTCTTGTAAAATGCAATGATTGCTATAGATGATTACACACATACTCATTTGGAACCATTATGGTCCATCTTTTCTTGAAATGCTGTCATTGTGATACTGTTTCACGCAAAGGAAATTTTTCTTAGAGGTTACGTGGTACTTGGCTGCTGTCACCTTTTTTTGTCCCCGATCTCTTCTCTTCTTGCAGATTGAATTAGTTTTGCATTAAGGATCTAAACTGAAGTTAAAGCAAAGAAAATATATTTCTGTTATGTATTTATACAGCTATTAATGCACATAATAGTCTACTAGTTTGTGTATGCAATGTGATAATGTTGTGCATGTCAATGGGCTAATATAATGCTTTTTAAATTCTCTTACAGACTCTTGTTTTATATGCTCTTGGTGTGGTCTTGCAGGACAGCTCAGTCTGGCCGTTGCCCTACAAGTATGGAACATAGAAAACTTAGATTATAATGTTTCTTAATGTGGATTCATTTTTTCTCCTGCTAAATTATGTCTCTTGGTACTATATGAATAGTGGTCCTATATCACGACACATGGTTTGTGGGATCCTCCATTTAAAATGTAGGTGTAGAATTTCATTTTGATTCAAAAACAACCACCACAAAGTGCATGTAAAAAAAAAACCAAGCAGATAAAAAAGTAGAATTGTCTAGATGCATTATTTTCTCAGCAAAAGATTTTAGGAGGTTCATAATTTTATATGGCAAATGCAGTTTGTCTATTTTAGAAAATAAAAATTGCCATTGCAGTTTACAAGAACAGAGGACACCCATCAAAAGCTTTATGTTGTTATTTTCCGAAATGGCCACAGAAGAATAATTTTGGCCACAAAATTTGAATTCCACAGAGTAAAAGAAAATGTGCTTCCAAATGGCAACCTTTAATTTCATCCAGCAGGATTGGGGAGCTGAAATAGAGACATTCATTTTGAATCCAAGAGGAAAAGAATCCAAGAGGAAAATAATTGAATTGATTGAAACAAAATTAACCAAATCGCTTTTAAAAATAAATAAATCTGGCTCTGGAAACTGAACCATTATTTGGGGGGGGGAGCAGAAGAGCCATTTCCCAAAGGATTCTGTTTCCATTAACAGGATATACTTTCATTATTAGTTCAAGGAAAATAAATAGCCCTCTGGAATGGAAAGGTAGAGAAGCCAAGCTGAGTATGCTGAGTGTCAAATGTTAAAAAAACAATTATTTTGTTTTTAATGTGATACTTGGAACCACCGGATTGCAGTTGGGTCTATGTATCCTGGGTTTAATCTTTGCAAATAATCCTGAATTTAGCCTCTGCAGCTAATGTTGGGTACTGCAGCATTTCTCACACTCACTACAGGTGGTGATAAAGTACAGGATCTCCTCTGACTCCCAGAAAGTTGTTTCGGGTCATCTCTGTGTACATATCATTAATTCTTCGCCACTGCTTAGACAAATGTAGTTTTCATTCCACATCAAACACATTTTGTTTAGGTTAGGGGATGAGTTCAGAGAGGTCCGATTACCCCCTCCTCCAAAAAAAGCTATATGAGCATCAACCAGGCGTCGCCATTTCCCAACATTTACAATCCAACTTTTTTTTAACTTTGCTAATTAAAACAAATTAAGGGATACATCGAACAAAACAGCTTTTCCAGACTTTGCTATTTCCCTGCAGAATATGGTTGGCCTTTTAAGGGAACATGATAAGGTACAGCCAACAGACAGCTGAAGGGTTGAACAATAGAAGATTTATTGCCCAATGAAATATCAACTTAATGAAAAAAACACATGTGCTATACTATAGATTTAATAAATATTGCAGGGTGGGGGGTAGTTGTGTGAAAATAAATAACCAGGCGTCCTTTTGGTTGCTTTGTCAATCCTTTCATTATGAAAATCCTACTGTTAGTTTTAGGCAAGGCTGGATAATTGCTTGTTTACCTCTCCTCCCCAAGCTGAATGTGAAACATGCTTTTCTTTCTAATGAATCATCCACTGCTGAGCACACATTTGCTTGCAGGCCAGCTGGATTGAGAAAAATGGAGGCGGCCTGGTGCAGGCAGCGAAGAAAGAAAGGAGGAAAAGGGAAAGAGATGGCAGCTCTGTCTCTCACCAAATTGTGCCAAATCACAAAATGTACACTGGGTGGATCCAGGCGGCCTGGGGTATTCTCTGCTGAAGAGCTTCTTAATTGCCGATTCCCTTTTGATCTTTTTCTTTTCTTTTTGATAGATTTGATCCGGATAGATTCAGTGATGAAGCTGCTGTAAAAAACTTCTCTCTCCTGGGTTTTTCAGGAAGTCAGGAATGCCCTGAACTGAGGTGAGAGAAAATAATACTATTTTTTTTAAAAAGGGGGGGGGATGTGCTCTAAATGGAGGGGGGAAGCAATACTCTATTTTTCTCGTTGCTGAGATTTGTAAAAAGCCTCTTTTGATGTACTTAGAAAATAGAACATAGAATAATAAGGTCTTGGAGATCTTCTAGGAAAGCATCCAGAGGTTACTCTGGCAGGAGGAAAATCTCCCAAATGAGTCAAAAACACCCATCCCTTCTTCCTTAGCTTCTCATTCCACACTGTCCAAAGGGTGGCTGATCTACTGTATCAGAATTTTTTGGAAGGATTCAGATGCCTGCAGTAGGACAAACCCAAGAAGGGGGTTCCTTCCATGTGTATCTTTTTTTTTCCCTTTAACTATGAATTCCAAATATTTGACCGATCTTTTTTTCATGGCTAGGTTTGCCTATACTGTTGCCACGGTTCTTCTGAGCGTGATTGTGAGGAAACTCCACCTGCAGCCTGTGGAAGGCCAAGTCATTGACACGAAGTATGAACTGGTTACATCACCCAAGGAAGAAGCATGGATAACCATATCCAGGAGGAACAAAGGAGAGGAGTGAAATTGTTGGGGAGAAGAACCATTTTGCACTACTGACCCATCTTCCAGTGCTTCCTTTGAGTCGTCGTAAGGCATTCTTAGCCTAAAATATTTTCCTTCCTTCATAAAAAATTCCTTGGATCCTATAAACAAATCTGTAGGATTAATGGGAAAACTGGACCTTGTGAGGCAATGATTAATTTGCCCCTCATTTTCCATTAACCAGAGCAGCAAGAAGTCACATATTCTGACCTAGGGGTCCTCAGCCATAAAAACCAAGTGTAAGCAGTCACATTGTGGAAATGCGCTGTGCATTTGGATATAGGAGCTTTTTTAAAACCTATTTTTAAATGAAGTATCACTCAAGTTTTGAGTTATAGCAGAGAAAAAACTAAAGGTGAACCATTGCTCTAAATTAAGATCCAATATGAGGAATGGATTCATGCAGTTCAATAAAAGTGGCGGAAGCACACTTCAATTAAGAAACATTCCTGTGTCAGTTGATTATTTCTCTTTCTTTCTATCAGGCTTGGGTAAAAATGTTAGTCATAACTGCAACCCACTACCAATAATGGGAGCAGTTTATTGGCAGTGCAACTTAACAAATATTCCATTGGTTTTTTTTTTAAATAGTTTTTATTAAATACAAAGAAAAAAAAGGATTAAAAACACTGAACATGGTAAATCGTCTTTGTTTTTAATGGGAGGAAGTCACAGTTAATTTTGAGGCCAAGGTGACATTTGGGGTGGGGAGCTGGAACAAAATTAGCACTGCTCATTCTAGACTCAATGCATCTTTCTTTTTTTTTTAAAAAAAAAAAATCTGGGCTTGTCTTGATAGATGGGAAAGATGGCATGCTATTTTTTTGTTCTTTCTTTCCTTTGCTACATAAGTGTTGAAACAATTGCACTGCCAGTGCATTATGTTTTTTTTTAGCAACAGCTTTGATCAAAACGATCTAAAGTAGTCTTTATGTGTAATTATGAGAATTAACATATTATTTGTCAGTTTTTCCAAGGGGAGTTTCACATTCATCTATACCTTTTTTATAGAGCAGTGCTGTCACTCTGCCTTTCCTACTGCTGAATTTAATAGCAATCTTACCTACTGTTTAAATAGTAAACTATAATATAGAAAAACCAAAATCAGTAAATTGACTGTACAGGGCAATAGTTTGGAATAGCAACCTGGGGGTTTTGCTTTCTCTTAGAATGTACGATTCAACTTATGTTTGGTGGGGAGTCATATTTGTTATTTTATAAAACCATGCTTTAAATTTGTAGGGGGAGGGGAGCTTATTTGACACTTATCTTTCTCTGGACAGACTGCATGTATGAAAAGTGAAGATGTGTGTAGGTGAGTGCTTGGATAGATCTTCCTTTTTTGTATGGGTGTAAAATGAGAGAAGTTAATCTTCAAGTATTTTCCAGCATAGCCATTCTCTAATATTCTGAAGTCCACATTTAATTAGATTACTTTGCAGAATGATAAAAGTAATATACATCAGAACTGTATAGTTCAATAGCCATATATTTTAACTTTTTCTGGAAGGAATTCATGGGGTGAGGGTGCAAGTAGACAATGGACTGGTCTTGAAAGTTTTTTTAAGGTTCTTGCCAAGGAGATCTTGTTGTACAACAGTATAGCCCAAGTAAATACACCAACATTATCTTAGACATCCTGTTTAGTAAAATCCTGTTCTTATTTGCCATCATTCAAAGCTCATGAAGTAGAAATGTGGGACTATCTGAAAGTTGTGGATGAAATAGATTTACTTTCTGTTTTACCCATCAGTATCAAATGTGGATTCTTTTTCTTGCATTCAATTAATCCAAATTCTGATTTATTGTCTTGCTGTTCTAACTTGATCCTAGATTTCTTTGTTATTCTGATTGTTTCTTTAAAAAAAGTTTATTTTAAATATAGTTTGACATAATTTTGCTTATTCAAGTTAGCATGCTCAGAGGATAACTTAATGGGCTTTTTCTATAAATAGTAGTACTATTATTACATTGTTGAGGAATTGTATTTTACTAAATATTAACTATAGTTACTTATGCTGTTGTATATTATGAAAAAGAAGGCTTCCTCAACGAATGATTTCCAATTTTAGTTGTCCAGATATTAGCCACAACTTGCCTGGGCCTCTGGATCATCTGGAGATCCAAAATTGAGAATTCTACCTTAAACTGTCCTCAAAACGTCTTGCTGCAGTGAATGTGGTGCTCTAAAAAGAATGATGTTAAAACAAGGCTCACTGAGAAACCAATTATTTGGATGTTCATGTAGGTATGAAATTAGAAGCAGGCATGGGATGAAAGTAGGGAAATAAAAGCTCTTGCTTGCTAAAAAATGCCAGTGAGGATTGGACACTAAACTATATAATGCTCTCTAATTAGCACAGTTGGTTTTAAAGCGGCTTGGGTAAAAATGTTATATAATTACCAAAAATAAATTTTGTCTTAACTTCTGATTTATAGTTTTTCAACAAATGTCCACAAAATACTTGGTAAGTGTTATGCTTAATATAAGCTTGGTTTCAGAATGCCATAAGAATTTTGGAATCGTGCAACTCTGGAGACAAGATTTTACTGGAAATATGATATCATGTGTACTTCCGGAAATAATATCAAGAAGGGAATGCTCTTGCTCAATACCAAGAAGATGCACTAAGTATTGGTAATAGAATCAATTTATGCAAATAAAATGGGGATTAATCCAATCTCCATTGCCCCACCATTAAACATGCATTTAGGGGTAACACTAGATAATGCCAAGGGCTATTCAACATTAAGGTTTATACACAAAATGAACGATGGGAAATGAAAACAAGTTGTAGACTAAACAGGGCCAGAAGACTGCATTGCATTTCTGGAGCATGAAATGACATGTTGAGAAGTCTGCAGGCAACCAAACCATGTTTTGCTCAATGATCCACTCATTTCAAAATAACAAAGTATCGAGATTTGGGGAAATGTGTATTTTTGCAACAGAAGTGCTTGCCTTAAGGAACAGACTTCAAATGTGCAGTACTATAACCCCTTAATGAGAGCTAATTTGGTGCAGTGGTTAAGGCATTAGGCTAGAAATTGGAAGAGTGCCCTGGCCAGCTGTGTGACCTCGGGTCAGTAAGACACATTTAACTCTAGGAAGGAGACCATCTCCAAAGTCTTGCCAAGAAAACTGCAGGAACTAGTACAGGCGGTCACTAGGAATCAAAAACTGTCTCAAAGCCCCCCTCCTCCTTAAAATGGTAAATGAACTAGTGCAGCCTCCTTCCATGAATAAACTGTTTAATTGGGTTTAAAGGTTGAACTATGCAACTCAATGAGCTTCCGTGGTTAAGGATAGCCCACAACCTGAATCTCTCAGATTTCCACCAATACCTCTCGAACTTTCCCCTCACATCCAACGTAGGCTCTCATTTCATTGCATATTCCAAAATAATTTTCTTTGGGTACACACATCTTTTCAAAATGATTGAAAACCAAACCAGTTAAAAGTTTTTAAGTTCTGCATAAAAGAGGGGAAAAAAAGAAATGTTGACTTTGAGTTTTGACAGTTAAGTGGGTTATTTTTTATAGAAATGGTTAGTGGTTATTATTTGGCATAATTAAAAAGTTGATATTATAACTTTAGAATTCAAACAATATTGTTGGCTATAGCCAGAAGGCTTTTAGAAGGTATTTCAGAAATAATTCTTTCAAATTGTTCATATAATTTAGGAATAAATCAGGTGGTACATGCACATACTTCCCTATCTGTTATTTCTTTTAGATATTTAATTTATATTACAAATATGCATGTGTGTACTTGTGCAGCAATGTGTGTTGCAAGTTGCAGTGTTATAAGAACAAGCTTTTGGCATTATCTTTATTTACAAGAATGCTTGTGGGCTCATAGGTGTTGTTCTTCAAAAATACATATAACTGACTGATAGCTTCAATCAAGTGCAGCAAAAATATTGCTTACCGGCTCAGGAAAATTTTTGAAAAAGCTTAGCTTAAAAAGAGGTAGTAGAGAGAGGGGCACCCTAAGAAGAATGATGGAGAAGGGGATCAATCTCATCAGTTTGCCCTCAGGAAAACTTCAGAGGATATTTTGTGACAACTGTTTTGTGAAAGCGTCCGTCACATGTTCTCAACATTCCCAATGTGTCTACCATCATTTCTACTTATTGAGTCAAAAGATAGTCTCAAGCATGTCACACATGCTATCTGACTATGTTTACATTGTGGTGGTTTCAAAAAGGCTTACTCTATGGGGAAATGGGGAACAAAGGTTTGAATGCTTATCTCAGAAGAAGCATTTCAGCAATCTGAGAAAAATGTTTCAGAGAGACTCCACCTTAATTGACAAGTTAGAGCTAAGGCTACTAACAGAGATATAACTTACGTTGACTAGGACTTAGAACATGGGATAGACTAGAAATCTTCTTATGTACTTACTATTACAGTACTAGGCTGAGTTAAGACGGGTTGATGCTGGAGTATTTTAGATTATTCCTGGTGGATTATTTCAATCCATTTTGGTTATGGCTTGTGTGGGGTGGCTTAGGTTTAAACTTTAAACTTTAGAATTTAAAGCAGCCACAATAACTGATCACAAACTAACACACACCAATAGTCAGTAGTCACTCAATTTGGCCTCTTTCTTTGGGTGATCCCATTGATATAAATGAGCCACTGTCTGGTTAAAATTGGATATACAGACTTTCTTACGTAGGACTATGACAACTGATCTAGCAAAAAAGACTGTCTATAGGAGAGTTCCTATGAGTGCTTCTGCTGATGTTTCAATTGAGTCTTAGAATAGAGAACTTATTAGAATTGTATACACATTTTCCTCCAGCATTCTTTCAAAGTCACTAGAGTCAGCCCCATGGTACCTAGAAGGGTTCAATGAGCTGAAGCAGCAAAGAAGACTTTACAGCACAGGTAGAGAAAATTTGTCTCACATCTGATAATGTAGAGCAGGGGTCTCCAATCCCCCCCAGTCCATAGCCTACTACCAATCTGCGGTCCATTGGGAATCGGGCCACACAAGCAGTGGCCAAGCGCACAAAGTCGTGGGTGCAAGTACATGAAATCATCCCCTCTTGCTCCCCTCCCCGCAGCTGCTGGTCCGCAGAGCCAGAAAGGTGGGGACTGCTGATGTAGAGAGTAAGGAAGAGGAACCTGACAGGGATAGGCCAGATCCATTATCAAAATAACAAGGGGAAAACATGACTTAAGTCCCAAACAAGAAAAGGTGATGTTCAAAAGATTCAGGCAGACACCTTCCTAATTCACATGAATATAGGGGGGGGGGCAAGTAAAGCATAGACAGATTTGAAAGATTGTGTTAATATAGCCAAAGTTGATAAAAAATAGTTTTAGTCTTCATGTGGAGTTGATTTTTTGGTTTGGCCTATGTACTGGGGCTGACAATCTTGTAATTCCTGGAGATGGGAATAGGTCAGTGGTGGCGAACCTATGGCACGCGTGCCAGAGGTGGCACTCAGAGCCCTCTCTGTGGGCACGCACGCCATGCCCTGGAGATGGCAATCATCCCTCTTCAACCAGCTGCCTGCTAACTTGCCGAGGTCCCACATGGCTGGATGTATCCCGGCACCCATGTGCTCACTGGCCTCTGTGTGCAGGGGCCAATGGTGTCAGGCAGCAGCCGCCCCGGCCCCTGCCTCACCTTGCCCTGTGACAATGGCACCCCCGCCCTGCCTTGCCTCACCTCACCTCACAGGACAAGCCTCCTGCCCACCACCCCACCTGCCAGAGATCCTCTGGATCTCCCCCAACCCTGCCCGTCCCCCATAGGCATCCCTCCCCATGAGCAACATTGAGGTGATCACGCCCACCTTGGCTACACCCACCTATGACCATGACCACCACAGCCATGACCACCACAGCCACGTCCACCCAGTGGGCCATGCCCACCTGGCACCTGGCGATAAGTGGATTTTGGGTTGCAGTTTGCGCACTCAGTCTCTAAAAGGTTCACCATCACTGGAATAGGCTATTGGGGGCAGTGTTATGTTCCCACTTCATCCTTGCCCAACCTGTCTTATATCTTCATACCATGAAGATCTGGGAACGGACCTGCCAAATATCATTAATTGCCCCCTGAGGAAGGGATGTTGCCTTTCTGTTTAATAGAGGCATTTTCTATACAAGGAGATCCACTAGTCTCCTAGTAGGAGATCTTTCAGATATAGTCCCACTGCTTTCAAGGCTAACAGCCATTAATCCCCATGAATTGGCCCAACCTCTTTTTGAAGCCAGCCAGGCTGGTTGCCAGGATATCTCATGGTAGCAAATTCCAAAGTTTAATTATATGTTGTTAATTTTTTTAAAAAAAATCTCCTTTTATCTGTCCTCCAGTATTAAATGAGTAATCTTTGTTTCTAGTATTTTGGGGAGGGGAAATAGTGTATTGTATTCATGTCATGCATAATTTTGTACACTGCAAACCTATTGCTTATTTTTATCAACTTTGACTTCATTAAGTCTTCCAAATCTGCCTATGCTTTGTAGATTAAAAAGTGTCCGGTATTATAACCTTTCCTCCAACTCCCTGATTATCTTAGTTGCTCTTCTCTGAAACTGCACTATTCCAGATGCAGTCACACCATTGATTTATAAAGGTATTATAATATTGGCACCTCCATTTTCATTACCATTTCTTCTTATCCCTAACATGCTGGTAGCCTTTTTTTTTTCAGGAGATGAATACCTTCATTGAATAGTTTCCCTTTACTCCAAGATGGCTTCTCATCTATCTTCTACAAGTTCTGATAACCTTTGTTTTTAGTACACATATCCAAGCAAACTTGGATATTCCCCCAGCCATACCTAATTCCTGATAATTTATCAATTCATTAAAAAGCACTGGTTTTAGGACAGGTGGAGTCTGTGGTCAGAGTACTTTTGATCAGCTTTGGCTGATAGACCATTTGTGTCTTTCATAGATAATAACCTCAAACTTCCAGGTTTGATTTCCCTAACAAGCTCTATGTATGACTTGGAAGCTTCAAGTATTATAAAATTAATCTCTAGAGTCTCCTGGAGAGACCATTTTATACCAGTTTTGAAATGTTTATACTCGTTGCCATTTGTTTCCATTTAATGTAAGGTTTTACTATTCTGAAAGCCTTAAATGGCTTTTTCCTAAGACCCCTGAGAGAAAGCCTCCTCTTAGGAGATTCTCTCTACCAAATAAGATAGTCAGGAAGACCCTTCCTGTGACAGCCATTGCTTTCTCTATGGTTGCCCTATGGTTGTTGTTGCGTCCTTGGCGGGAAAACAGACACGAGAAGCAGCTGGAGTTCTCAGTTTCTTTTATTCAGCGTTCAGCTTACAGGAAGATGGCTTCAGCCTCGCCCAAACGCCTCGCAGCCTCTTATATAGGCAACTCCCGGGTAAATGGGTTACTTTTCCCGCGCCAGCACCCGCGCATGCGCACGGCGCTGGCGACAGC